AAAAAAATTTATTAAATCAATAATTATATCGATTAGCTCTATAAAATCTACAATGTTTTTATTTTAGATGTATTGAGGGTCATTTGTTTTGTGTGGATATTCATGCATGCATTACAGCACATTCATTAAAATCATTAATTTAACCATTGTGAATATCCGAGGGTAACTTAACGGTTGCTTCACGACTAATTTCAAAGTTCCATTCGACTGTGACACTAGGAGGCGAAATGCGACAATCGTATGCGAATGTCGTGTGCAGTGGAAAGGCGGCTATTGGCTGTGCTGGGGCAACTGCACATCCAATGGCGCGGGCGCCTCTGACGTGCGAGCTGCGTGCGACCAATGAGCCAACTCTACGTCATTACACGTCAGAGCCCGCCAAGGGGGCGCCAAGTCCCCGAATTTTCCATTATAGCAGGTCTTCGTTCATTCATAGTCTGTCTGACATTTATATTTTAGAAGCTATGTGTCTGTCATGGATTTGCACTGTATTGATTCTCAAAAATACGGAACAAAGTGCGTTCCGTATCAGTTCAATACGGAACAAGACTTGACTTTTATGTGTCAAATAAGCTGTCATCCCTCCCTCTCGAGCAACTGACAGGACGTCGTCCCACGCGAAGTCATGGCAACCAAATTAAACAGGGCGAGTAGGCCTACTACTTGTCACTGAATCTTATTTATAGTGTATATAATATATTATAATATATTTGCCTATAGGCAAAGTGACGAACAGCGTTGAAATCCGCACTCACGTGGGTAGCGTTGCCGTGAAATATGACAGCTAACGTTACAGTTTATTGGAAAATAAATTTATTTATGAATTTGATGAATTTAGTGTTTACTGCTATCAGTCCCAAGACAAGAAGCTAACGTTAGCGAACGCTGCAGGGACCCTCTGCCTGTGACTCCCCGCTGCAGGAGACGCTGCTCCGACACGCTGTATTAACGATACTGTTTTAAAACCAACATGATAAACGTAACGTTAGCTAATAATGTTCACTTAGCGTTTTGATTTGTTGTTAAACTATGTAATGCACAGCTAGCTAGAAGCTAGCGCTAAATCATTATCCACGAGTGAACATGTTTAAGTTGTCAATAATTTCAAACAACGACATTACAATAATTTACATGATGATAAAAAAAACAATGTTTACAGTCAATGTCGCAATATATAACTTATATATATATAAATAACTTACTTACTCAAAAGAGGGTTCAGCGCAACCGTGTCCCAGCAAAGAAAGGCTCGACTGATGATCGGCTCCTGGTGTGCTGTAACGTTAGTTCAACCGTTAGCAGCTACAGTAAAGGCGCGTCCGCGTCCTAGGATCCGACATGGGTCCGCACTGGATCCGTTGTTTGACAGTAGAATTTACGGCGCCTCCCGGAGGCGGAGCTGATCCTCTGGGCGGCCCCAAAACGAATGTGACAGTTACGCGGGTTTGGCGACTTGAACGCGGATCCGCTTAGGAGTCTCCTGCTGTGTGGGTAGTAACTGAGTCGCACGATAACTACGTCATTGCAAAGGCTCGTGAATCATCACTACGACACACCCCTTATACGGCATTGGTTCTGGCTTTTGTTCACACAGCGCACGTTCCGGGTCTGAACACAGCAATGTTACTAGGTCCCCAACCCGGCATCGATCCCGGCATCAATCCCGGGTCGTGTTTGCGTTCACACAGAAGGCACTCTGGCAATTTGCCGACAATTTGCCGGGTTCAAAGCGCTGTGTGAAAGGGGCTTTTGTAAAGAAACATTACGTGACTGACTGAACACGTAATACGTATGCGCATGACGTCAGCGTTTTCACAAATGTGTGTTTTTGTAGTTTACACGGAGACAATAGCGGTATCGTTTTTAAAAACGTGCGGTTTGAAACTTGTTTCTGAGGCCCCCAAAACGCACACCAAAACGCAGAGAAAGTTCAATATATTTCTTGTTATGAATGACTTCTGGCCTGCAGGGTCCGATTATTAAAGGGATATTTCACCCAAAAATGAAAATTCTGTCATAATTTAAAGAATGACGTGTCGTCCTCATGTCATCACAAAACCCATAAGACTTTCGTTCATCTTTGGAACACAAATGAAGATCTTTTTAATGCAACCTGAGAGCTTTCTGTCCCTCCGTTGACTGTCCACGCAACTACCACTTTGAAGCTTCATAAAGTTCATAAAAAGATGAGTAAGAAAATTCATGGATTTGCATTGAGATGATCCACTGAGCAGATATAATACTCTGAAGAATACAACTCATTGAAAACAGTGTAATCACAGATTCATTAATGTGCCAAAAAGATGACCGAACTAGAGCTGCAGAATCGGACCAGCCAATGATTAAAACGCTTGTGATTTTAACCCTCTGGGGTCTGAGGTGTTTTTGGGGTCCTTGAGATGTTTTGACATGCCCTGACATTTGTGCTTTTTTCAGTTGCTTATAAACATATTAATGGCACAGGTGAAATTACACTCTATTGAGCACAAACAGGGCTACCATAATATGTGAGCAACATGTATGTACATGTTTGTATTTTTGAGAGAATATTGTTTATGCATGGTTATTGAAAAAACTAAAAATTAAAGTTTCTGAAATAAAGCCACAAAACACATACTAAATATGTGTCCACAAGACTTTTGACTAATGGAAGTTGTGGCCTAGACTTTTTGCTTCAAAATGATCTGAAAATCATCCTGTCTAATCATTGACACAATAGATTCTTTTAAATTGTGAAAAACATTTTTTGTTAGCCAAGGCAATATGCGAATGGGCGTGAACGGCCCAACCCCATTGTGAATAATTAGGTGGTTGAGAAGACAAAGACCCGCATATTAATGAGCCTTTCATTCACATGTGTCACACGAAAGAATGCAAGGACAATATACACACACACACACACACACATATATATATATATATATATATATATATAAAATCAAAATATAAATGAAAGTCAAAAGCACATTTTTAGTTATACCTGGAAACAAATAGGTTCAAAATAGGTTATATGGGCCATTGTACAGAATTGGTTCAAAGTTAGAGTTGGAAACATCTTGAAAAGAAAATTGTCTTTTTCCATAAATGTCTTAGTAGGCCAATACATTTTATCATACATATTTCAAAGTTAAGGATTCATTATTTTGATATAGCTTGCATTGGAACAAACACTATAACATCTTAGTTGATTAGTTTATTAACAAAACATACTATATATTTAACATATGAGCAGAAACTGCTAACAAAAGCTTATTTGATGTCTATTTTAGAGTTAAAACTTTATAATCTATCCAAAACTAGTCACACACACACAGAAACATGATTCAAATTTAAACAGTAGGCTATTTTTGCGTTTACAGACACTAACGTTATTATATATTGCGATTAGAACAAAGCACAAGAATAAAACACTTACAGCCCAGCTCGCTCCTCGAAGTGAAAATAAACCAGCACTTGTTCTGAGGTAGGTAAATGTCCCAGGATTATTCCTCACAGCCGCGCAAGACAGTACATTAATCTGACTAAATATAGTGTGTTTACCGAGTTTATGTGGGCGTTTACACGTCTCAATGTGTTGCTTCAGATCATTAGCGTTTGAATAGCGCGCGCTCTCCGTGGGCGTCACATTAGCGGAATAATGAGATGCGAGAACGATAATGAGAACGGCTGACACCTCTCTCTTTTTATATAGATTACATAAACAGAGAATATTTATTTTAGTTTTAAATTAGATAATTTAAAAGTACAAACTTAAATGATCATAAACATATATTGCTCATGTCTGGGTGAATAGTATTCGCTGAGTTTTGTTTAAGTTTAGAGACGTGCTCCAGAAAAAAAGTTCACGGACACAGAGAGGAAGAACGCACACCCTGTTTATTTTCTTTATTTTACAAAAGCACAATATTTTATTTCGATTGTAGGTGGGGACATAAAAAAGTAGACATTTAACAGTTTATTTTTTAATATTTCTTAACTCTGTATGACCAGAAATGATGGAGTAGTTTAAGTCTATTTTATTGCTATGTGAAAAAAATCTGCCAAAACGCACCGGTGCGTTTGCCGTCCCCCCAGAGGGTTAAAACTGACTTCTCTGTAAAGGCCAGGTTATACTTCATTTTCCATGTTCCACTTCATCTCGTGTCTGCACAGCTTTTAAAGTATACTTAACCCTGGATGTACCCACTTCGACACATGCGCAGCACAATTGCTTTTTCATCAGAGAGCAGCAATAAGTTGTGTCATTTACAGGACATTTGCTCGGAAGGATAGAAGAAAAGGACATTTAAAAGCAGCCTACGTCAATGTAATATGTTACCATATCATCATTCTTAACACAACAGTTAGAATAATTGTATTGTGACGATCGGGTGCGGATATCAAAATCAGAGAAAATCGTAGTTTCGAATGGGTAGCAGGTGAGCGATTTATATTGACAGCGAATTCGGTAAAACTGATCATCTCTAAATGACAGCTGTCAATGTTCTGTTGACTTGACGTGAGCCACCTACTGGTTCATGCGCAATCATTCTCACAAATATTTATTTTTACTTGACTTTTTTACATGTGACCTTGAAGCAATCCAAAAGTAATTCAAATACATTACTTTCATATTGTGGTGCTTGGATTATGTTTCTGTAACTTCTTTATGAAGAAATATATACATTTTTAAAGTAACCCTGCCAACTCTCGCCTTATGTGGCGCCCAAAAATATTTGGAAATAAAAGCCACACTTATATTGTTTAAATTTGACTGCATCATGTAAAGTGCTTGCCATTCATAATGCTTCCCCCTGTTGCGAGATTCATTTTGGGTGAACTATTTCAATGGGGAACTGACAGATGTAAAAATAGGAGGAGAAAATAATATTTTAGATTTCAATAAAACCATCTAATAAGTATTATGTATAACCATAGTATTTACCAAACTGAACAAATTTTGTCAACACGAGTGTCTGGTTAGAATCAAGGCGCGCTGGTCTGTGAGATGCGCCTCTTACCGTGTGGTAACGTTATGCTGGCGCCATCAATGATGGCTTGAGCAAGTTCGTGGTCGTTGCTCTCGAAGGCTTGGGCAGCCGCCTTAAGTGCATCCCAGATTTCCTTGCGACCTTCAAAAGCCGGTGCCGTGTCCCAGAATTCATCACGCTTACTGCGCAGCTGGCCATCGGTCATTGGGTAGTCGCTCTTCCATTTGGGCTTCTCTCTCTTCAGGGGCTGGTTTCGGCCCAGTGCAACTGCAAAACAGAGACGAACAGGTCAAAACATATTTATTACGGCTAACAAATGTAAAATGACTTGGTCCATGGCTCAATCAGATTTCAGAGCCTAAACTTTCCATGATATACATATTTATCCTTGATGAGCTGATAGCATAAGGCAGAAACTGAATGCGTTTACTGAAACAGCATGACTTGATCTCAATGTTTCTGTTTGCAAAACTGAAAATAGAAGGAGGGTTAACAGTTGTGGGAGAAGCCTGCCGTAACATCAGCTCCAAATTGGACCTTTGAATGGTGGATTAGGCTAAATATGATTATTGATCAATGTACCATATTAATAGCAAAAAATACACTAGCACTGCATATCATTTTGCACTATATTAATAACACATGAAGGTGCAGGTGTAATTCTTTACAAAGTTTTACACAAAGGAACAAATGGCACTTTAGAAATTTAATTAAAGTGACATACTTTGATTCACATAACATGAACATAATATAGCTAATATAAATTATAATCCTGTGATCTACATAGGACAAGAAATAAAATAGAAATAAAATAAATGTACATTTGTACATTTAGGACAAGCAGTTTGGAGAATGGATGGATATTATTATATTATAATAATTAATATAATATAATATAAATTATAACCCTGTGATCCATCTACATAGGACAAGCGTAATGGTTGAAAAAAAATGTATCAAATAAAAAAAAATAATGCACATTTGTACATTTAGGACAATGAATGGATATTATATTATATTATACAGCACTCAATGTGCCTTGCACGGCATAAACAAAAGTATATCTAAACAAAACATATAACACACACAATATACACTCTACAGACACAGCGGAGCCTAAAACAATAACACAGTCCAGTGAGATGAATCGCGCACACACATTCTGATATACCAGTCCAAGAGAATAAAAACTGGACAAATAAAAATGTCCAAACAAGGAATCCCTGCTACAGGCACAACATCAAATGCCAAACTCAAACACATGACGGTCACAACCGCTGCAATGCAAAAAGCCTTTGCCAACACCAGTCACTGCAAAGAGAGACCTTGAACTACCACTACAAACCACCAACAATGCGTGAAAAGCTGTTGAAATTGAATCAAGAAAATACAATGGATGAAAAGGAAAAAACAAACAGCTTTTGATTTGATACAAAAGCAGTTGGTAAAAAAACTATGCATACAGGCCAAAAGGTGTCAGTATAGAGTTCAGTTACGAATAAAAGGCCAACAAACAAAAACAGAAACTTACTGAGTTGGCATAAGAAAGAAAAAAGAGAAGACAGGAGATATTTGGGGAAATCCAGGAAAAGGGTTGAGGGATCATAAGGTTTCCAGGTAGTGCTGTGGAAAACATGCTATATATCGCACAGTTTAGATATGCAATTGAAATCTAAGTAATATAAGACTTAGGTTTGGTAACAGATCATCTTGCATTTGTCTTGCATGTCCTGAATTATTGAGGTCACAAATCATTTTCGGGCAAAAATATACATTTTATAGACAATATTTTTAAACAAGTCACTTATATATTTATATATAATAATAATAAATTACATTTCATGTTTTTAGTTTGTAATTATAGCTATAAAATGCAACTAAAGTTTGCAATTGAAAGTTCTTCTGTTACCTAGCTGACATATTTACAGCAGAATTTGCTAAAACAATATTCAAAACTTCACAGAAACCTAAATGTTTCGAGATTACAAAGCCTAAAACTGAGGCTCCATGCCATCCTTATTAATAAACCCTAAAAACACCCCATATGAAAAGGAAGTGGATGCTAGTGGCACATGTTGTAACATTCTGTCTGTTCCTTTGAGAATAGATATACCGCAGTAATGGCATTTGTTGAAAGCAAAACCTTGAGATGTATTGCACTCTCTATAAACCAGCACACAGACTACAGACACACAGACTCCCAGTCAATAACACTGGCAGAATTACCAAGGGCTGAAATCCAAGCAGTTACATCAGAGCGCCCGAGACGTCTTTGAGAAAAGGAGATTTATTGGGTAAAACATCTGGCTGCCATTATGAAAACCTTTTTAGTCAGGAACACAGGTTGCAGAACAACCAAAGCCTGTGATAATGCTACCCAACACTTAGATGTTCAGTGATGAGACACAAAAACAAGCATAAAACTCCAGACAAAGAATAAAACAGCAGCTGGCCATGAATAATTCAGCCACAGCCAATAAACCAGTATAGCACTTTTTATGACCCAGAAACACCAGAGAAACAATATTTCAACAACCCAGAAATCAATCCTTGTCGTCTGATACAGCACCTTACTAACGCAAGAGGGGGATTGATTGATTTCCTACATTCTGCGAATTAACTTCCTGTTTGTGTGTATTGTGAAGCGAGGCTAGTCCTTGGTGACAAAGCAGCTCTCTGATGACCTCTTCCTGTTGTCAAAGAGCCAGCAACACATGCAACTTCATGAATGAAACAAAAAAAAGTGTGGTTACTGCAGAGTACAGGCCATGTTCCAATCATAGGCAATTTCCTCTCCGCTGTGAGGAGGAGACTGTGACTTTTGTTTTGGATGTCTCCTACAATAGGTTTAAATGCATGTAAGATTTAATTTTCTCAAAATATACATTGAAGCGTCGCCTCTTATCTCACAATGTCTGAAACGGCTCGATAAAGGATCCAGTTTCGCTAATTAATTACAGTATAGTTACGGTATATACGACAGTATCTATGGCGTGAACGCACCTACACTACATGAAAGGTAATATCCAAAAAAGCAAAATAGGAGCACTTAAAGTAATCATGGAGGCTGACCCATGATTTTTCTTAGTGACACCTGTAAAGATTGGATTAAAAAAGAAAAAAGAATCCATTTATATAAAAGGATAATGCAGTAGTTCTGGTCAATAACTTGTGAGCTGCCTTTCTGTATAGACTACATAGGCAGCTGCTTTCTGACGTGGTGTCTTAAAGGTGCAGGCTGTAATATTGACAGCTAGCGGTTGAAATATATACTGCAGTCCAAATTCAAAATATTGGAGAGTCATTTCCCCACGCCCCTCCTGCTCAGACTCAACCCTCACGCGAGTTGCCAGATTGAGGACACGCAACAGGAACGAGCGCAATTGACAATGGAAGGCGACAAGCCTTACACTGTAAGCAGATCAGCTATTAGATCTGCTTTTTAATATGCTCCCATTCATAGTGATTTTTAAATGGATGCCAAGGCTTTTTAGGTCGGGTAGAATCTGCGATTACTGACCTAGTTTGTTTGCTGGTTCCATGGCTGCAATACGCTGTGTTTTCCGCCAACTGGCAACCCGGGGTGTCGAAATACTATTGGGTAAATTGGCAGTGGGCGGGATCACAGAGACCAAAACAAATACAGTCATTCTGACACAGAACACACATTTCAAAGTAGAACAGGTTGTAGCTTTGTTTTTCAGAGAAACGAGTTTGTGAACTTAGCATGTTTTCTAAATATCTGCAAATATATGGTATTTTTATGCCTTAGTACAGTCAAAAAATTACAAAGCCACCACAAGTGACTGATTTGAAACGCTCTTTGAAACCACTCTAGACATGCATGCTAGACAGGAGAACAGTAGTGTTCAGTAGAGTTTGATGTTAGCATGTGGCTAAGCTAACAATGAGAGGCTGTAAAATTAAAAAACAAAACAATGCAGAAATATTGGATAAAATAGTTTTTACTGATACTGTTAGTATTGAATGAAACAAGTATATGCAGTGCATTGTGGGATTCGCTTATCTGTGGAGGAGACATGAAATCTGAAATCTGGACAAAGCATCAAGACAGCACAACATTGCGGTGTGTCTTTTGGAACAGCGTTCGCATCAGGAGCACAGCCATGATGCCTTAAAATACTGTCTAGCCCGTCAGCTCACTACTATCGAAACTAAGATAGTGTGTCCTGGTGGGAAAAGAAATAATAGCATGGAACCTTGTTCAAATGAAGAAGAAAGTAATAGAATAAAAAATAAAAGGAATAAATGAAGTGAAAGAATGAACAAAGTGAAATAACTTAGAGTTGTGACAGCAAGCAAATGAGACTGTCCACAATACATGATTGTTACGGACGCTCTCCGTGATCAAGCTTTCAGCCAGAAAATGACTCCAGCAGCAATATACTAGACTCAATACAAACAAATCGCAGTGTAAATACACTAAGAGCTTCAACAGTGATTCTCTATTCCTCGGGGGGGAGGGGGACAGTCGCTGTCTCTTGGAGGGCTGTGGAGCGTGTGGACTTCCCTCAGGGTGCACATTTCTCCATGCTGCAGACAGAAAATCTATAACATCACAGTTCTATTTCCTGTTTATAATGATGCACTAGCGGCAGAGTCTTTATTTAGATAAAGTGGGTTGAATGAGGTGACAAAAGCCCATGGTTATGTTTGGAATATCTTCTCTTCATTTTTGTACAGTACATAGTAAACAGGGTTTGAAATTAACTTTTTCACATACACATATAAATATATATACACACATACAGTAGTCAACATTTAAAGTGGATCAAATAAGTTAATCAAAGTTGTCCTAAGAAAGAACAGAATGGGTATTGTTCATGGGTATAACTTTGATGAAAGGTATCAAAACCTAATATATATATATATATATATATATACATATATATATATAGTGGATCAAAACCTTTCATTGAAAGAGGAAGGGATCTCCGGAGGAGATGGCTGGATGACATGATTTTGTTTGAAGAAGAAATTAATGTACGAAAATAATATTTATATTTATATATATATAATTTTCATACATTAATTTCTTTTTCAATCCAGCCCTTCCTCTTTCATCCTCATTCTTTTCACCAAAAATGTGTTTTAGGTGGACAAAATAATCAATACAGTACAAAGAGCATCAAAAAAAATTTAGGATGTTTGAAAATAATGTCTTTTGTTAACCAAATGCTTTTTAATCTTCACTTTTGCTTGAATGCAAATGAACAAGCGCGCCATTATTTGTTACGTAATGACGT